GTGAACATTTGGGCGGCGTTATGCAAATCTTCCCACATAGTGATGTAGACATGGGGGCGTGTTAGAATGAGCCGTTTTAGGTAGGCGTGGTTGACTCTTAACTTTTATAAAGAATATTTCTTTGGATTTGAGACTTTAGTCTTTGCAACTTTACAGATCTTCTTTATGCACCAAGAGCTTGTAACACTCCAAAGAGAAAGGAAAAATTGAAATCGCATCATATGACCCCTTTAAGGAACAAGAAATTATTCGCTGTGTAATCAACACCATGTCGCAAATACTGCTGAGCAAGCCTAAGGAGTATTGTAACTTCTTTAAATCTTAAATCATTCCGTTATCACTCCTGAAACTATAGGTCTGCACAGCGGTTCAGAGGGAAGGTTTTGTGTTTGCACGCAGACACAGTGGCTGCAGGAAATGCCTCAGGACCAGCAGAGCCACTCTAAATTCTCATAGATTTATGTGAGGGTGCTGCTGATACCAGGGTGGAATCCAATATTGAGGCCTGTCCTGACACACAAACACCCCAGTTTAAGGTAACTGCACAGAGCCAGATCTCTTGGGAATTTTCCTCTCAGTCTCTCGTCAAGTTAAAGACAGAATATGCAAGCCTGCAATCTAGCTTCCAGTGACGGGGATGCTACTTTTACACTGAAGCCTGCCAAGATACAAGCTACTCATAGTTTAAAGTATTTAAACGACAGTCAAGCATTTGGAAAAGTAGTTAAATGTAAATACATTAAAGCTATTTAAAGGAATAGGTCACAATTTAGTCATGTTGTTCCAAACCTGTAAGTTCCTTCTGTGGTATTTTGAAAAATGTCTCAGTGCATTTTATTTGTCCATACAATGAAAGTCATCGACTGTATGGACAAAAATGTTGAAAAACAAAAACATTCTTCAAAATACTTTCTTTTGTGTTCTGCAGAAGAAAGCCATACAGTATTATAACAAATTGAGGTTGAATAAATGATTATAGAACTTTCATTTCATTTTGGGGGACAACATTTTTTTTATTAAAGTAAACATAAACCCATATATATAGAAATATATATACTTATTTATATTTTATATATTCCAAGTATATATTTTTATAGACTTTTATAATACACACACACAAATATATATATATATATATACACACACACACATATATACAGTGGGGCAAAAAAGTATTTAGTCAGCCACCAATTGTGCAAGTTCTCCCACTTAAAAAGACGAGAGAGGCCTGTAATTTTCATCATAGGTATACCTCAACTATGAGAGACAAAATGAGAAAAAAAAATCCAGAAAATCACATTGTATGATTTTTAAAGAATTAATTGGTAAATTCCTCGGTAAAATAAGTATTTGGTCACCTACAAACAAGCAAGATTTCTGGCTCTCACAGACCTGTAACTTCTTTTTTAAGAGGCTCCTCTGTCCTCCACTGGTTACCTGTATTAATGGCATCTGTTTGAACTCATTATCAGTATAAAAGACACCTGTCCACAACCTCAAACAGTCACACTCCAAACTCCACCATGGCCAAGACCAAAGAGCTGTCAAAGGACACCAGAAACAAAATTGTAGACCTGCACCAGGCTGGGAAGACTGAATCTGCAATAGGTAAGCAGCTTGGTGTGAAGAAATCAACTGTGGGAGCAATTATTAGAAAATGGAAGACACACAAGACCACTGATAATCTCCCTCGATATGGGGCTCCACGCAAGATCTCACCCCATGGGGTCAAAATGATCACAAGAACTGTGAGCAAAAATCCCACAACCACACGGGGGGACCTAGTGAATGACCTGCAGAGAGCTGGGACCAAAGTAACAAAGCCTACCATCAGTAACACACTGCGCCGCCAGGGACTCAAATCCTGCAGTGCCAGACGTGTCCCCCTGCTTAAGCCAGTACATGTCCAGGCCCGTCTGAAGTTTGCTAGAGAGCATTTGGATGATCCAGAAGAGAATTGGGAGAATGTTTCTGTGGTATTTTGAAAAATGTCTCAGTGCATTTTATTTGTCCATACAATGAAAGTCATCGACTGTATGGACAAAAATGTTGAAAAACAAAAACATTCTTCAAAATACTTTCTTTTGTGTTCTGCAGAAGAAAGCCATACAGTATTATAACAAATTGAGGTTGAATAAATGATTATAGAACTTTCATTTCATTTTGGGGGACAACATTTTTTTTATTAAAGTAAACATAAACCCATATATATAGAAATATATATACTTATTTATATTTTATATATTCCAAGTATATATTTTTATAGACTTTTATAATACACACACACAAATATATATATATACACACACACACACACACACACAAATACACATATATATACACACATATATATATATACACACATACATACAGCATATATGTATTATAAAAGTCTACTAATATATATATATATATATATATATATATATATATATATATATACACTGTATATATATATATATATATATATACTGTAAATGTATTACAAAAGTATATTATATACATTTACATTTAGACATTTATATATATGCAAAAACTAAAAACAATGAATTGTTTCTTTCTGAATTGACCAACCTTATGATCAGATTCATTCAAACAAAACAGATTTTCTATATGCTACATGACAGAGACATTCAATAGTGTTTGATTATTGCCTCAGCATGCCAAGCTGTGTATCATTAAAAGCATTTAAAGTTACAGAACTTTGTGGTCAAGGAAATTTGCAGGATCACACTAGTTTATACTTGTCAGAGCCGTGATATAACGTTTCGATAATCGCATTGCATCACAGGAAGGCTCGTTTCACAGCAACCGTGTGGAGTGCGGTTTAGTTAAGCAGCATCAAAGTCCCTACCAGATGAAATGCTCAGCGTGAGATAGGAATCAGCTGGCAACAGGGCTTGCAGGTGCAGGAGGGATTCAAGCCCGATGTGGAGAGACAGCTAAGCTAATATTTTGCTGTCACTCAGCAGTCACTTTAAGTGAGCAGAAGCAGCCGTGTACACAGAGACAGGGACATAGATAAGAACTCTGGCAGCAAAACAGACAAGGTGAATTAAGCGCTCTCTCTCTCTCTCTCTCTCTCATGTTAGTCACACATGAGGCATATATTTCTTGAAGCTTCCTAAGCTTTATTAATGTGATGTAGACATGCTGACTCATTCTGGATGCTGGCCTGATGCTCTGCAGTTAAACTGCTGAGCAAGACATTCATATTGTCATTTTTCATTGTTAAAATCCTTTCTCCCATCTGAGCTTAACATGCACCGACAACTATAAGTAAGCCGATAGTTGATTGATTTCCCCAAAAAGTGTAAACACTGTGGCGGTATAAAAACATTGCTCCGCTTGTTTGAGCTTCCCAGCATTGGGTTGCGGGACTATCTGTTTGTCCAACCAATAGCAGAGTTGGAGAGGACACCTGAACTTTTGGAATTCCTTTTGGTGATAGTAGTGATACTATTAAAGCGTTCTGGGTGGTTGCTAGCTGGTTGCTCACAGGCACAATTCAAAAGAGCTCACCAAAATCTCTATGATATTCTGGTTCAATGCTTTTTTCACCTATTTCTTTGCCAGGCGAAGATTATAAGTTTGATCGCTTAATGTAATAGCACATCTCCTCAACAAGCCACATGGTTTAGAAAGAATAATCCACAGTAAGGACAGCATATCAGTCACATCAAGAAGGCTAAGTCAGCAAATATGTGGCCCTTTGAGGAAGTAAACACTTCAGCTGAAGATCTTTAGATATGTGGGCAATAAAATGCAATGCATATTCCACATGTCATTGGCCAGTGTGCTTTCATATCCCTGTGCAATTTCCAATCTGTTCTTTTATGCAGAAAACAGTGCTTTTTCCTGAGGTATTTTGGAGAAAAACAGCTTGCTACGAATATTACAAATTCAGGGCAAATCAGAAGGTACTTTTGGTACATCTGAAGATACTAAATGTGACTTACCTTCTCATACACCCAAAGGCATGAATATATTCAAAGTCGGTTGTACTCACCAAGCCTTTGCAGTTGCTCAATGCCACTTTTGTAGTGCTATATTGATCCAGTAGGTATCCAACATAGTGGCAGTTATCGACTACTGAATGCTGCCAGTCTAGTCCGTCTTTGCCCCAGTACTCTACCGTGAAATGTTTAGAAACCAGGTTGGGGTTGAGTGTCAGGTTCAGGTGAAAGTGCTTGCCATAGGCTGAGAGTCTGTAAAAAAGCCTGGTCTCAGTGTGGTCCAGCTCAGCCTGGTCCAGTCCACGTCGCCGCCGACCGGGCCTGTAATGCTTCACAGTGTAACTCATGATCTGGCCCCTCTCATTCACCCGTACTGGTACTGTTAACTGATAGTGCTCCAGCATGGACAGGAATTCCGCTTTGTGTTTGGGGGAATAAAGTGAAGCAGATAACAGTGAGGAATACAAAGGAGGGGGTAATCATGGGAAACCAAAAGTCACTAAGCAATTTCAGCACTGTAAGTGTCAGGTGTGTTCAGGAGGAAAGTTCAATTACTCAGCGGCTTCACAGCGCAGGAAACTGAGTTTCAGTTACATTTAATTATAGTAGCAACTTTGTTTCTGATGTTTCTCCTAAAAATCCTTTGGAGAAATAAAAATAAACAAATTAATGTGGGTAGTAAAGGAAAAAATTGGTTCTTGGAAGAATTTGATGAGAAATTTGATTGTAGATGTCTCCATTGTTTTTCCTTCACAACAGTAACATTCAAAGGGAGTAAATGGAGACTTCTGTGTAGCCTATCTGTTTCTCAGATTTCTCTCACGGTAATTTCGAACATGTCTCCTCTTGACGTTTCAAAGTAGATCAACAAATGTCTCAAAATATGGACAGATTTGATAGTTAAAGTTAGAAGTCTTAAGGTTTCTCTTAAGGTTTTTCAGGAGCACCGATGGTGATACTTAAAAGGAAGCTTAACTGACAACACCATCTCCTGCAAGAGCAATATATTTTCCACCATACTGGCAAATCTGAGCACAGCTTGAGACATTGTTGAGATCACTTTTGGAACTCCAGTAGAAAGGGAGAAAAATCAGAAGCAGAAGACGCAAGTAAAAATCAAAATTTTCTCTCCATTTAGTCTCTAGGAGAAACAACTGAGATATTAAAGAGATCTTTTGTACTAGTGTCTTTATATAGTAAAGAAAAAAAATCACAGTGAGATCTTTAATGTCTCAATTGTTTCTCCTAGGCATAGACATCAGCAAGTCTGCTGCTCTGATTTTTCTCCTACAGAGTTTCAGGGGAGCTCTCAAAAACGTCTCAGACACAACGCTGTGCTCAGGTCTCTCAGACACAATAGCCAGAGCTCTCAAAATGAACTCTTATCATTTCTCATCAATAATTTCCAAGATCGAATCATCTGAGTTAAGCTACCCACATTTATTTTATAGCTCTGTACTCTTACTATGTCAATAATTGTCTCATCTGTTTATTTTTCCTAAGGAGAAGCATCTGAGATGAGCTTGACACTTACATGAATCATAATTGAGCAATAAAAAGTTTTATGTCTTAATGACATAATTGTAAGCAGAAATTAATTTTGGCTTGCGACTGGTGAGTTTTCAGAGCTGCTATGACATCAGCTGTTAGCTATAGTCATCACTATATGTTCTTGTCCACGTTATTAAACCTACCTTGAGAGTTGTATGAAAGGATCTGAGCTTCAGCAGCGGCCAAGACCAGGCTAAATATCCAAGTCAGCGTCTTCCAAAAAATTTCCATAATTTAGGGAAGATCTGACATGGGGTGGGGGTAGGGGGAGGCTACAAGTGGATTAAAGCGATATGATCAATCCAGCTTTGCACCATAACATATCCGTGACAAGCATCCTCGACACATTTGAATCTCAGTCCACACTTAATCCCAGGTTTAAAAGACTTCCTAAAGGTGACTGGATCCTGCACCTTTGTTAGCCATGAGCAGGGCAAGAATCCAGATGAATTCTCTTCATGTTATTCCAAAGCAGCAGATCTATATTAGGAGCTTGTCCCAAACGATCCATTTGTTTGCCTGGAAACGAATGAGAGTAGGGGGGAGGGGGGGACTTGTCAGTGGAAAATTGCCAGTTTGTGATCTTACTAAATATTCTTAAAATGGATTTTGACAGAACATAGCTTTTTAACTGCAAATACTAAGCAATGCTTTGTCTTATCAAACATCGGGAGCAGATTGCAATTCCATAGCTGTAACATCTGGACTTGAACAGGTTTGATCACACACACACACACACACATAACGGTGAGCTCATAGGTGTTGAGTGGGATGCCGTAACGTCAGGTTATCATTTTCACACCTGCACTTGACTATTAACTGCCCTGCCTGTTTCCGACTCAAGGCATGAAACCGTGCTGCAAAAACCTGTTGCAAATAACTTGACATGGCGGCTGATCAGAGCTTTTCCAGATTCTTGGTGTGTGAATGGAATCAACAAGCATTTATTTCATGTACAAAGCATGAAGTCAAGTGTCATCTGCATTCAAATGCTACTGGAGCCTCTCTCAAAACTAACATCACTTTTCTGAGCACTTTTTTTTTTTTTTTGCAGTTACAGTTTTGCATTTGCAGTTTTGCAGCACTACCAGCTGGTCTCAAATGGTTTTTAGTGGATGTGTGAAGTCAGTTCTCCACAAGTTCACACAGGTGTCCTATCAGAGTAACACAGTTACTTACGTTTGAAATCAAAATATTTTTGTCTTCATTTGGAGCAGTATATTTCAATTACTTTGTTACACACTAAAAAATAAAACACACAAAATGACACTTGGTTTGGTAACACTTTATTTTAAGGTGTCCTTGTTACACATGTTACATGTACTTATGCATAATTACATGCAAGTAACCCTAAGCCAAACCAAATCCTTACCCTAACCATATAGTAAGTACATGTAGTTAATTAATATTACTCAGTACTTATATGTATAATTACACTGTAACAAGGACACCTTAAAAATAAAGTGTAACCCTTGGTTTGATATTACATGCTGCAATACGTTCAAACATTTTTAAGTGTGGACTAAAGGAATAGTTCACCCAAAAATTACACTTCTGTCATCATTTACTAACCCACCTATATGCATTTCTTAAAAGAAGATATTTTGAAGAAAACTGCTTACCAAACAGTTTGTGTCAACTAACTTCCATTGTATAGACAAAAAACAATGAGACCAAAACATACACTCTAAAAAATGCTGGATTAAATACAACCCAGTGCTGGGTAAAATAGGGACAGACCCAGCAATTGGGTTGTTTTGACCCAGCGGTTGAGTTAAATGTTTAACCCAACCTTCTGGGTAGTAACCCAATCGCTGGGTCAAAACAACCCAACTGCTGGGTCTGTCCCTATTTTACCCAGCACTGGGTTGTATTTAACCCAGCATTTTTTAGAGTGTAATCTTTTACAATCCACAGAAGAAAGTCATACAGTTTTGGAGCAACGTGAGGCTATTTATCTGTCAAGCAAGACTGTATCAATTCAAAAGCAACAGTCAATACAATGGAAAGTCTTTATTTTGATCATAACATTTATAACAACTGTTTGTATATATCTATCTATCTGTGTCTAGCATCTATATATCTATCTATCTATCTATCTATCTGTCTGTCTGTCTGTGTCTAGCATCTATATCTATCTATCTATCTATCTATCTATCTAGCTATCTGTCTGTCTAGCATCTATCTATCTATCTATCTGTCTGTCTGTCTAGCATCTATCTATCTGTCTGTCTAGCATCTATCTATCTATCTATCTGTCTGTCTAGCATCTATCTATCTATCTATCTGTCTGTCTAGCATCTATCTATCTGTCTGTCTGTCTGTCTAGCATCTATCTATCTATCTATCTATCTGTCTAGCATCTATCTATCTATCTGTCTAGCATCTATCTATCTATCTATCTATCTATCTGTCTGTCTGTCTAGCATCTATCTATCTATCTATAGGTCTAGCATCTATCTGTCTGTAGGTCTAGCATCTATCTATCTGTATGTCTGTCTAGCATCTATCTATCTATCTATCTGTCTGTCTGTCTAGCATCTATCTATCTATCTATCTATCTGAGAAGCAGGACTGTATTACAGAACCGTTGCTAGACTCAATGTGACAGTAAAAGCAACTCCAGAAGCAACTCACCGGATGAACATCAAATCAAACGCCGGCTTTTCTCTAGGAGCTCCAGGAGAAGAGTCGTCCAGTTCCAGCAGATATGCCCTGTATGTCAGCTCGTTTTGCATGCGTTTCTTTTCTTACTATCGCTGCAGAAGCTGAAGCCGCAACTGTGCAGACGAAAATTCACGAGTTTCATAAAACGGCTTCTTCCAGACAGCAGCTCGAGTCTAAAACGTGTCTGACCCAGACAGCTGGCAGCTGCCCAACACTATTACACTGACCGCTGAAATACAAACACACGAGACCAATGAGAAGACTACTAATGCGCCCCAAGGGACTCTTTTTCTTCTGAGAAGCAGGACTGTATTACAGAACCGTTGCTAGACTCAATGTGACAGTAAAAGCAACTCCAGAAGCAACTCACCGGATGAACATCAAATCAAACGCCGGCTTTTCTCTAGGAGCTCCAGGAGAAGAGTCGTCCAGTTCCAGCAGATATGTCCTGTATGTCAGCTCGTTTTGCATGCGTTTCTTTTCTTACTATCGCTGCAGAAGCTGAAGCCGCAACTGTGCAGACGAACATTCACGAGTTTCATAAAACGGCTTCTTCCAGACAGCAGCTCGAGTCTAAAACGTGTCTGACCCAGACAGCTGGCAGCTGCCCAACACTATTACACTGACCGCTGAAATACAAACACACGAGACCAATGAGAAGACTACCAATGCGCCCCAAGGGACTCTTTTTCTTCTTTATTTAGTAGCTTTCATTAATGTTGTCGTCTGAGATAAAGCCGTCACAAAGGATTCCTATTAAAAACAGACTCCTTTATATTGTCATCTTCTGTGCAAACTCCACTGGGAATGCCCGTAAGAAATAATTACCGTCTTCATCTTTTATTGTAGAACACATGCAGACAGTAGAAATCTTCATTCGACTCCACTTCAGCGCATTCTTCAGCAAATCTCTCGTTTCGCTTCAAGCCATTCTCTACCTCTCATGCCAACAGATGTAGCTGTGTCCTTGTACAGGAACAAAAAAAATAATAGAAGCTCTTCATGAACTCATTTCATCAGCAATGCACGGGGCGAAAAACTCCATGGACTCATCTCCAAAATATGAAAAAGTTGTTGAATAAGTTTGTGTGACTCAGCTCATGTTGAACTGTTTAAGCAGCGCGTGTGGCGGCTTATGGTTTGGTCTCGAGCTCTGTGATTGACCAGAGATGAATAGCATCAGTAACGCACACTGGACGGGTGCGCGTGCAGGACAGCAGAGCTGATCAGAGACTGAAGCCGGATTCGGGGCAGCACTCGAACACTGGCGGCAGGAGAGAGACGGGAGGAGTGCATTGCAGATGTGCTTCACTCTGAACGTCAGGTGGAAAGGACGTAAAGAAGCAGCAGGTAACAACAGGACCCTTCAGTAAACGATTAACAGATATTTTTATGCTTAATATTCAAATCTATCAAAAGAAAATGTCCAAATTAAAGTCATATTTCGAGTCATAGGTGATTTAAAATCATTTATTTGGACATTATTTTCACAATAAATGACAATTAACCACATTGACCCCCCCCCCCCCCCCCCCCCCCCCCTGTCCAATTAC